CTTATCTTTACAATAAGAAAGACAGACAGGATAAGACAGAAAACAAAGTTGAATACCTTAAAAGGAGAAAGAAGAATGGAGTAGAAGGACATTGGGAAGGAGTGACACTCCTCTGAATATATTTTTTGTAGAGTTTTGACTTTTAGATGCATGTTAATATTCTACATGTTCAAAAATTAAATTAAATTAATATAGAGGGGCAGCAAATAAAATCATAAATTGTTTTTGTAGGTTGCTTTTATGGTATAGGTTGAAAGCTTATTGGTAGCATAGGAAAATAAATCATAACTCTACAAAGAGAAATCAGACAACATATTACCGATAAGGGGCAGATGGATATCACGTGCCTTTAGATGTGATACCCTGGGGGCAGGACATCCCATCACTTACAGACTATTTTGGCCAGGAATGTATAACTTGACCTTCATTGTGAGAAACCATCATACAAACCCCAAATGAGGAATGCTCTATTTTTATAAAGGGGCACAGGGAGCTTATATTTTTCAAAAATGTCAATGTCATAAAAAACAAAAAAAGGCTTACGAACTACTCCACATTAAAGGAGACTAAAAGTACAATATAATTCTTGATCATGTGCTGGCTCCAGTAACAAAGGAAAAAATTTGATACGAAGGACATTATTAGGTCAATTGACAAAACTGGAATATGGACAATAGATTAAATAAAAATATGGTATCAATGTTAAATTTACTAAAGTTGAAAACTATATTGCGATTACGTAAGGGAATATCCCTATCCTTAGGAGATACATATTGAAATATTTAGGAGTAAAGAACTATAATATTTTCAACTTACTCTCAAATGGCTACAAAAATAAGGTATATGTGCATATATGTGTATATGTATATACAGAAAGAGAGAGAAAATATATGAGCAAGCACAAATAATTAAGCAAATGAGGTAAAATGTTAACAATAGTTAGTATGCATAAAAGATATAAGAAGGTTGTTTATACTATTCTAGCAACTTTTCTCTAAATTTTATATCATTTTCAAAATAAAAAAAACTGATACGAGATGGAAAGTGCTGTAGTAAAGTGCTACAGTTGAGATGAGAGAGGTAAGCTGCCTGGGAGTGATCTGAAAGCTTTCTTAGAGAATGCAGCATGTTCACTGGGCATGGGAGAGTGGGATAACCCACCAAGCAGCATATTCCTTATTCTAGGGTATGGGAACTAGGCTGACTATACAATAGCTATCAGCTCTCCCTGGCCAAGAAGCAATGTGCATCTGCTGTTCACTGGTCCTGAAATGTTTCTCAAGATTGGGAAAGGCTGGTCAAGAGGCAAAAAGCAGCCCATGACCCAGTGAATACTGTCCCATATGCAGGTACTGATATATGTGCTATGTGGGTACTATTCTGGAAACAGGACCTCCCAACCCACTCTGAGCTAAAGTCCCTCCATGTTCCAGATGTGTAAAGATAATTCAAAAGTCACCACCAAAGATGAAGCCTTGGCCATGGTACTTCCTCACTTCCATATGCTACATGATCATTATTTGAGTCACTGGGCTACAGGAAATGACAACCTCCAGTCCCTACGGGCAAGGGGCACATCTCATCATCTCTGAACCACTCAGATCCCTGAGAACAGCTGAGACCTCCACAGAGGCTTGCCCATTGGTATCATGAGGCTGGTCAGCACTGCCAACTTTACCAATATTGTGGCCTAAATTAAGTTTTTAGATAAAGCATTCCAAATGAAAAAGGTGAGGATGGGACAAGTGTGGGAGAGCAGATATGGGTTCAATGCACTAAGCTGAGGAAGAGGAGGCAAGCAGAAAGTGTTGAACCCCTTCTGGGTATATCAAGAATATACCCTCAATTTTTAGGTGACATCACTGCCAGGAATTTATAATCTTATGCTCTTTATCCACTAAATTCTTACAAGTATAATAACAAAAATCACCAAGAAATAATAACTTACCTTGGCAAGTTTCTCTGGTGTGGAGGAGACGTGCAGCTGGGAAAACAGCTCTGTTATCTCTTTGGTAAAATCTTCATCCCCTAAAAAACCAAGCCTCATATAAAACACTCAAGAAAGACTGCTGAGGATCACAAGAAGGAGGG